CTCGACACTTTCCGCTCTACCTCGTTGTGTCCCTGACTTCGACCTATGTGCATCTGGCGCGATTCCGCGCCCAGGTTCATCCTCCTTATTCCCTGTCTCTCCGCTATCCGTTACTCTTGCCGCCTTAGCGACCGTGGCTGCACTGCCTCGCCTAGCTCTTCTGCGCCCTGCCTTCACCCACTACTCCCTCGCTCCGCACGCACCCGACCCAACTTCTCGTCCGAGTTCGTTCCCCTCATTGCCGGCTGCCGACCACTCTTGCTGCCCATTACCTCCGTTATCGACCTGCGCTGCCCAGTATTCCCCTCTCCCTCATCTTCTGAACGTATGCGGCCGAACTCCTGGCCGGGTTCATCCCGCCTTATAGCCCAACGACGGCGGGCAGGTAAGATCTTCTCCCCTCCCAATATCTCCCCCTTCACTCCGCTTGTACCCGGCGCGGCCCCCGTCCAGGTTCAGCCTCTCTCTTCGCGGCCTCAACTTAGTGCCCCGTCGCTCCTCCGCCTTCGCCCGCGATACTCCACACTGCAGTGGCCAGCATGACAACCGCAGCGCTCCGCTATCTGTCTCTCTACCTCGCCTTCCCGTGCCTAGCGCTCGTCACCCCGGTCCCCGAATGCTGAGCGGTCCGACGATTCGACGAAACATTCGAGTGCCAGAAACAGGAAACGTCTGGCCGTCGGCCCTTCTACTACACGCGCCATCCGACAATTCGACGAAACATTCGATTTATGTGCGCAATCCTGTGCGCGAGCCATACTACTTCTTTGTATCGCTCCAATTCTGACGGATGTCCCAAGGGACCTGACCGGGGTAATGCCCCGTATTGCACGGGTGGGGTGGGGTGGACACCGTCCTCCTAGCCACTCCGCACGCACCCCGCCCTGCCAGCGTCTGGGTCCACTCCTGGATTCTCCTCATCTCACCCCCGCTGGCCTGTACGTACCCGGTGCGGTCTGCGTCTGGGTTCGTGCCGGACCTTTGCGCACCATCCTTGTGCAGGGGCCATGCAAATCTCTTTGGTATCGTTCCGATTTTTGCAGATGTCCCGTGGGACTTTGGCCGGAACAGTGCCCCCACGGAAGTGCCAGGGCCAGTCGCCCTGTGGCTTGACCGTTCGTGGGTGCGCCCACCATGGCAGGCTCTCGGCCATATCCCGAAAGAACAACGGGCCCCCCCAAAAAGAAAAAATACAACTATATATATAGATATATATAAAATAAAAAAGACAAATATATAAAAATCCATAAAACCCGGTTATTACAAGGCCTAAAACGGGAACCGGGAGCTACTGGTACCTCGCCAGTCCCTTAGGTCGGGCCCGTCACTACGCATGTCACCAAAACTGAGGGGGATAGCCCCGTCGGACCCTCAACCCCTCGGTTTTCTCCAACGGTCCGCTGCTCCCTCGTCGCCTCATGCTGGCCTCGATCCCCAAGCCCTGATAGTAACAGTCCAATGCCATAACCTATAGGGCTAAGCCCAAGCCTGAAACAGTCAGGCGCGGATTTCAATATAAAGCGGTATCGCACGGTGCCTAGGCCTGGAGAGAACAGCCTAGGCCCCCCCCTTTCTGCCTACAACCAGCATGTCACCAGGCACCCGCGCCGGCTTACCTAGACCGCGCTGTGGCTGCCCCGCGCGCCCTCCTATGCGCCGGTCGGTCGCGCGTGCCGACCGAAAACGAACTTTTATTCCTTAATCAAATCCGTAACATGGTCCGGGTCGGTCGACTAGACTGACCGTCCACTCAATCAAAAAAATCACACGCGCGCCTTAAAACTGCCTGCCCACATACCTCCTAACTTAGCCAAGGCGGTTCCTGGACGTGGTCGTGCCTCTCACGACCCATTTTTCCTGTCATCTGCAAAAAAACAGGGCGGATACCCTTCTAAGGGTATTCGCGCCGACAGCCTACCGGACCATAATAAGCGACGTCCCCGTTGTTCCGCCAAATCAGGAAGCTATAAATTCATCCACATTCCAAATGCTGACGGGAAAGGAACCAATCCGATTAGCCGACAGACTCGGGTTCGAGGCCTCCATCAAACCGTGCCCACACAACTATATGCTGTCAGGGTTTCAACCTGGGTCTCCACTGCCTTGACACTAGGACGCTGGTGTATTACGCATCAATACTACAGCATAAGTTCCAAAGTCCACCTCAAACTGTCCTCTCCCCTTCGTCCTAGACAAACGTCGGCTTCTCGTTGAGTGCCCCTGTTAGACTCTTACTCGTAAGCAGAGTCATACCCAGGGACGCGGACCTTAAACGGGACCTCAGAAGGCACTCTCGGCTTCCTCGCAAAAATCCTCACAATAAAAAATATATACGTATATACACTTAAATCTTATCTCGACTCTTTATGCAGTCTAGTACAGAAATGCTAGGTCCTCATCCTGGCCCACCATAGTCTGGTTGATAGAGCCAGATCTACGGCCCACCGCATTGTTACTTTAACGGCAGTTCCTTCGCTGGTTATGCAACGATAGGTATCCTCCTGATAAGCATTCAATCAGGACTACCCAAAGTCTCGACTCATATCCCCCGCCATCCCACCGGAGTAATTTCCCTGGGGCGTGCATAACCCCTTAAACTCTTACCCCGTTGGTAGACATGGGTCCGCAGCCAGGTTGTGCTGGTTTGCAGTCATCCAATAGGGGTTGCGCCCTAGAGGTGCTAACCAGCGTTGTCGAGCCCCGGCCCCGGGGCCCCGGCGGGGGTCCGGGGGCCCGGGGCTGCGCACCCCCGGCCCCGGCCAAAAAAAAATAAAAAAAATAAAAAAAATACAAGGGGGTGCGCACCGTCGCCACCAAGCCCTTGACACTTTCTGTTTTTTCCAGAAAATGGGGTTATTTGGCCCACCCCCCGGGGGTGGTTGTCACCCCTGCTGGGGCCGGGGCCATAGCCGACCGGGGGCGGGTGTGGTTCGGCGGGTGGCGGGGGAGGGTTCCCGGGGGATGCATTTGCGAGGCCGGGTGTCCACCTGGCGGGGGCGGGTGTCGGGGGTCGGCGGGTTTCCCCCGCGGGCGCGGGTGTCTAAGTTGAGCGGGGGTCGGCGGGCGTGGGGCTCGGTGGTTGCGGGGGTCGG